TAATAAAATGAAATATTTTAAATTATAAATAATATTTTAATTATTAATTATATTTAAACAATTAATCTAAAGATATTTAAGTTGTTTATAACGTCAAATAACAGTAATTCATACTAACTAATTACGTTAGATTAAGGAAAAGAATTGAACACGTGGCGATCGGCTGGATATTTGACAACAAAACAGCAGAAAAAAGAAGGGTACTGGATTTCTCTAGAGAGCTAAAGAAATATCTTCCTTCCTGGTCTTCGCTTATTTCATCAGCTACCTCAGTATACCCGCCAGAATACCCACTATCTTCGATTCTCTGTTCCTGTTCCGATCCTTCAGGAGAGCGATTCTCAGGCATAAAAACAATGCCCAACTTCAAGAGAAAGGATATCGATCTAGTCAACGATGATTTCTCCGATTTCTCTCTTTCTTCTCCGGCTACAAAGATTCGCCGCCTGGTATGCAATTTCCCCTCACACTTCTCTCTTTCTCCATCTAACTCTTAGGAATTTTGATTGAGTTGCCATGTTTTGGCTTTTATTGGGGTTTGGTTTGAAGTGGGTTTTGGTTTTGGTCTCTGTAGGATGCTGAGTTGCCGCCAATAATTGAAGAAGATGAATTTCCAGAAGCTCCATTTACAGAGGAACTTCCGGCGGCTACCACAGAGAAGGCGGTTGTTCTGTTCAAACCAGTTAACAACCATGTCTTGCACTCCCATTCCAACATCTCTGTTTCTGTTGATTCTGAAATTATATCCGGTTTTAAGAGTAAGTACTTTCTCATTCCTCACTCCATCCTTTTTTCCTTCTGATCTCTTTGATACTAACAGAGATAACAGAGATAGCTACACTTCTAATGTTTGCAATAGATTATATCATAGCAACTGTTAGAAGTATGTAGAAATTGGAAATGTCCATTCTGCTGGTTTTACCGCACCATGATGTGCATGCATTCTACTTGGTGGGGTGTTTGCGCTAAAATGATTTTAGTGATTCCAAGGCCAGCTGTATCAAACCAAACAATCGGTCAGTGGACCAAGAGGGTTCTGTTAATTTGATCGCCACTTTTGTCCCTATCCGATACAGAGGGTAGGAAATGGGTTCGGTTAATTTTGCATGTTAGTGTTACTGGTGGGTATAAAGGTGCCTTTCCTTTGTTGTGAAGAAAATAGATGATCTGCTTGAGTTGTATGCTGGTTAAGCAGCACTGGATACCTGCTCATCTCTCTTTCGATCCAATGCTCTTAGGGCCAGCTACATTAAACAAAACAATCAATTATCTGATGTGGGTTCTCATCTTTTGAACCTACTTTCTTATCAAATTGTTACAGAATTTTATCAGCTTCTGTTTCTCTTTTCTGCTCTAAAGCCTCTGTGTACACTATTTTCTCCCATTTTTATTTATTTTTAGTGTTTGTCTTAAAATGCGCTACCATTGTCCGTGGAGTTCTTTAACTCTTCATCAAAATGTAAGTTTAATTTCTACTCTGACCAGTTCATTTTAGACTGAAAGAATAGTTTTTTACATTTATGGACTTTTTGCAGCACTGGCAAGTGTAGTTTCTGACTGTTTTGGCTTGTAAATATGATTCTTTAGAATGCTCTTTTTGGCCTATCAACACTGCCTAAAAGAACTTCTGGTTGTCCACCATTTAGTTTTAGTTGTATGATTCCACTGTTGTTCTAAGGATTGTGGAATGAAATGTTGTGGTTGGTGGAAAGTGAGAATTTTGGCTGCTTAAATAGCATCATATTCAACCTCAACTCAATTTTCAGGTGTAGATTGATCCACAAAGGCGATTGACATAGCCATCCTGTCAGTTATTTATCTTTAGTAGGTCTCATGTTGAAAATTGCTCCATTTTGGACCACTACAGGAGATTTTGAAGAAATGAGTGCTTTATGGACCATTCCTAATTTTGTTGAACATTTTGAAATTTGAATTTAGAAATAACAATTTTGTGCATTCTCTGCAGAGCAATTTCTTCAGTCAGCATATATGTCAGAAGTGAATGACATGTCAACAAATAAATGCCGAGCTGTTGTTCCTTGGGTTCCCTCTGTGGTTCCTTATGTTGCAGGTGAGGATGTTTCCCCACCAGAGGCTCCAGAGTTGATGGAGGCTGATGAGATGGGAGAAGCATCAATGGATATCGAAGAGAATGATTGTGTGAGCATGGAGCAAGAGCTGGGACATGGAAATGGCGTTTTGAAGGCTAGTGAGGGCTTTCATCAGTGGCCACAACAGCACTGTATGATCCCACAGCTGCCTCAGAATACCTTCACTCCCATCACATGGTCCCGGTAACGAATATGAGCAAAGCAAAGTTAATGAAATGTTGCCTCCATTCTTGTAATTCTTTATTTTTTTGGAGGGAGTTGAAGGGAGGTTATGGATAGGAGGTAGTTATAGGTAAGATGTAGAAGGTAGTGGAAACAAATATGGATCCCACTTATGTACCAAGAGAAAAAGATGGATTCCACTTTTGCTGGCTACTGAAGTTGAACTAAGAAGTCTTTTGTTAAGACAGAAGGAGATAATGTAATGCAGCAGGTGTAAAATATCTTTTCTTCCTGGTTTCTATTGCCTGCAAATTGAATAGAATACAGTTGAGTGAGGGCCCAATGATCTGCAATTCTCTTGTTATTCATTCAAATCTTGTTTTTTCTCTTTTTTGGTAAATACTCATCCTCATAGTGAATAGAGTATATAGAAAATGTAAATGCTCATTGAAAACTCTCCCCTAGAAACAAGAAAGAACTTAAAAAATAAAAATAAAAAGGCATCCAAATCTTCGAACAAACCATATTATTCTATTTTAGGATTGGTTTCAGAACTCAAAAAATTAATGATAGGAGAGAAAAGAAAAATTAAGACATTTTAATATTAAAATTATGTTGAAATTATGTTAAAATTATAAGAATATTTAAATTTAATAATTAAATATGTGAGATATATTGTATGTCCCAACTTTATCGCATAATGCAGATTATTATTGGACCTTGTGGCATTTTTCCCTATTCCCAATGGCACAAGCAAACACAAATTACCATTGCCTATTTTCAAAAGACAAACGCAAATTAAAAAGAAAGGATTTAGTCCACGGAGAATGGCAAACGTGGGAGAGAAAGGCGGGTAGCCGTGAGCCTCAGGAGAAACAAAAAGGAGCGGTTGGCTTTCTCCCCAGGAAAGACGCGGCCACGCCACTCCCTGACCTTTGGTTACATCATTTTCCTATCCCAAAATATAAACCTTGTTTCTGCTTCGGTAACCATCTCTTTGTCCTTTCTTTTGGCTCTCGGCAATTAGGGGAAAAGAGAAGAAGAGAACCAAAATGATGTACGAACAGCAACAGCATCAAGTGAGGATGGATTTGAGGAAGAGAGCCGAGAGGAGACGGTGCATAGAGGAAGAAGAGAGGCTTGAGATTGTTGATTTGAGTGGCATGTCTTTGGAGTTTCTCCCCAATCCCACTCTCAACTTGGCCACCATCTGCAAACTTGACCTCTCCAACAACAATCTTCAGGTATGAGTACCACCATTTTTTATACTAATCTCAAAAATACTTATAAAACATCATTTGAAATAGCATGCTCATATCATACCTTAAAGGTTTCAAGGGTCAAGTTTTGAATTGCATTTTAGGGGATATTAAGGTTTTGTTCTCAAAAAAAAAAAAAAAATTCTGGTTACCCTTATTTAAGTACCTAAATCTCAATATATTAAGACTCATTTAGTTATATTAAACAATATTTTTGTTGAAATTAAGCTCGGTTAATATGTTGAGGACTTACTTAGATATTTTAATTATGTGGCAGAGCATTCCGGAGTCCTTAACCGCAAGACTGCTAAATGTGGTGGTGTTGGATGTGCACTCAAACCAGCTAAAGTGTCTGCCCAATTCCATGGGTTGTCTTTCAAAGCTTAAGGTTCTCAATGTCTCAGGGAACCTTCTTCAATCCTTGCCTAAGACTATTGAAAATTGCAGGTTCGTTCTGTTCCCCAAAGTTGGTATTAACTCATATTATTATTATT